ATTTGTCCCTTCCATGTCATAAACTTGTCTCTCTGTAGAGACTTCCATCTTCAAATAGACTTAGATGACTGTATTCTCCCTGGAGCTTTCAAAAGTGTGGCTGTTGAAACCTCTCAAAGACAATACAGTACTTTAACATTACCAATATCCTTGGTCACGGCATCTAAGTTTCATTTATCTTACTACTCTATGGTACTCCCAGTAAAATGATTTTCTCACAAAGCAGTCAGTCAGGCTTGCTAACTGGAGGTTTGGAAAACATTAAACTGTGGAGTATTATAATCTCTCTGATCTACAACTAGGATTATCTCATTGAAAGACTGACTCAACACTAACAAAAGTGCAAGGAATAAATGTTTATTCACAAAAAACACAATAACAGAAACAAAATAAACAAAGGCAGTGTTCATTGGTGAGTGTTGAACCAGTAACAGAAAAAGTGAAGACTTACTTAAAAGCCCTCATCAGCTCAACGTACCCTCGCCCCATAAGTTAAACCAAGGTATATAATATGAAAAGAATTAAGCTTAAACAAATATAATTCCACTTAAACTTAGATTTCAGAAAGGTTAAACCAACTACTAAACTTCTAAATAAAAATACTCCAAGTAAAACAATTTAGGGTTTAAAGTTAAAGCTAAACAAGTTAGTTAGTTAGCTTAACAAAAAGATCCTTCAAGTTATAAGAAAAGTTCAACTGAAGGTAAATTAAGCTGAAAAAGTTGTACGTCCAAAAAGTTAGTTAGTTAGCTTAACAAAAAGATCCTTCAAGTTATAAGAAAAGTTCAACTGAAGGTAAATTAAGCTGAAAACGTTGTATGTCCACAGAGACAAACCTGGCTTTATATACAAAAGTAAAAATACAACAAAGCTAAACTTGCACATGAAACACACCTCACGTTCAAGATACAGTATGTGTACATTGAGAATCGAGCTCTTGGGAAAGGGTGTCTATAACTTTATCTGATTCACTGTGGGGAAATATAGCTTTTTATTTCTGGATGTAACGTGCTATGATATTTTACCTGCAAGAAAGTTAGTTACTTAACAATACATTGCATTGTTTTACTTTTATCGTAATGCAACTATTTTTATCTCTTATCCTTTATCCTTAAATTTATTTAACAGTATTAATTAAGTGATTGTGCGTGAAGCTACAATGCTAAACTTCTTATAGTGTTTGTTTGTTGTTAAACATAAAGCTATATAATGGGCTATCCATACCGAATTTTAGTGTTATGAGCCTTATAAATTACTGCTGAATTGCCATGGAGCTAAAAGAAAATCAAACCAAGTAAAACTTTTCATTTGAAATTAGTAAAGCAGCCTTCTGTGTAACTCCAGAAAGTAAAACAACAACACAAACTTCATAATATTTAGGCAAAGAAATAAAATTCACTAGAGCATCTCTAATAATAATTAAATCGATCTATTTAATCCATTGATCAATCATAAAGTTATATAAGCATGAGTCATGCTGTGAATGCTCTTCATTTATTGATTATTGATGTGGCAATTAGAAACTGGCAGAGCATTATTTTTAATAGCAAGTGCAGCATTCGGGCATGGCATGTATTTTCTACATTCTTATTTTAATATAAAATTTTTCAAAATTTTCTTTTAAATAGGTATATGTGTAGTTTTCACATATCATACTGGTCAAAAAGTTAAGTCCTTTTGCTCTAGCTACTTGTAGTTCTGTATCATTCATTGGAGGTAATACCTTGTCAACCTATGGGAAAGACTGCTGTTAAGTTGTACTTGATGTAAAAGAGAATTTTTCTTTCGGTAGTGAATCCTTTCAAATTACCTGGCGAAAATAATTCAAAGTTAACTCTACATAAACGAAAACAAGTTAGTTCATTTCACCCTACTTATTTTTACAAACTGCCTTGGCTGTACACAATTATAGACCACATTTACTAATTAAACTAACTTCACTACACTAATCTAAAGAGTAAACTGGTATGTAATACTTCATAGCTAACAAAAAAAAAAAGAATGATTCATTCAGTTTTCTCCATTAATCGATTAGGTGATACCTTGAGGTTTATTATAATCATTTTTATGCTAAATGGGAATGATCAATAGTAACATACATAATGCTAGTGCTCATGTCTTGAGAGGGACAGCATTCTAGAATTCTTTTCAGTTCATTCTCTCGTTCTTTTAAACTCAAGCCCTCAGTTTGATAAGTGAAGCTTAAATTCTTTTGTGATAGTAATATCCTCATTAGTTTACATTTGTTTATTCCACGAAGTTTTCACTCTTTCCCTATGTCAAGCACGATAAATTTATCACAGTTTGAGATGTAATGGCGTTGCTAGTTGGTTGCTCAGCTTTAGTTTTAAGTTTTGAATTGGAAGTTCTTCCTCTTTCCTTAGTGTCCATTCGTCTTTCACTGAGTCTATTATTTTGAAGAGTTCAATGTTAGATTATGTTTGTTTGTTTTGAATTTCGCGCAAAGCTACACGAGGTCGATCTGCGCTAGCCGTCCCTAATTTAGCAGTGTAAGACTAGAGGGAAGGCAGCTAGTCATCACCACCCACCGCCAACTATTGGGCTACTCTTTTACCAACGAATAGTTGGATTGACCGTAACATTATAATGCTCCCACAGCTGAAAGGGCGAGCATGTTTGGTGGGACAAGGATTCGAACCCGCGACCCGCAAATTACGAGTCGAGCTCCCCAATCATCTGGCCATGCCAGGCTCGAAAGCTATGTAAATTCATGATTAATGAAAGGTTATCTTAGGACATGAAAAGCTGCTTATAAAAAAACGCCCATAAAAACCGCAAAACGCAAAATGCATAACTGAAAATTTGTATGTACCTCCGCATGGATCTTATGAATCTCCACACCAGTTTTGGTGAAGATCCATTCACAATCCGCGAAGTAGTTACATGGACATAAAAAAGACAATAGACCGAACTATTGTATTTATATAGATTCTTTGCTTTCACTCATAAATTATGAGAATTTACTAAGAACGTTTTTTTTTTTTTGTACCATTGACGCCTTGTGGTTGCTTGACACGCTTCGGAACAAGAAGACATAGCTTTTTTGGTTCGCCAGTTCTTTCGAATGATTGTAGTTATTTCAAATATAATAAATTATAAATGATGTTGAAAATAGATAAATGCTTTCGTGTTATTTTATTAATCCTTATTCTAATTTTGATTTGTAAGTCGCTTAAATAATAATTTATAATAATTATAATTCATTTTATTAATCAAGTTCATACTATAAAAGTTGTTATTCATGAAACTGGTGATAAAAATATCGCCTCGACCATAACTATATCTATGTATCTCATCCTGTTTGATGGGCCCTGGGAGTGGGCGAAAGGTCTCGTTCGGAACTGGATAAGGAAGATTTAGTGTCGCTGATATATTATTTGCTCTTACTTATAAGTTATTAGAATAGACAACTAAAGCAAAAGCAGTTTAGCCTTATTTCAGAACTAATTCTCTATTGCTTAAAGTATGTATACTTAGAAAATGTATACTTTTAAAGTATTTGAGTATTCTCGATAAACAAGAAATTACCACCTTTTTAAACTAGATTAGGAAAGAAACAGTAGCCTTGAACACTACAAGGACAGATATTTAAGTCACCTTGGCTCCAGTTAAAACAAGTGATTTACTTATGAAATGAGTTGCCATCAGTAGTAGTGTAGGTCAACCTTGCAAGAGTTTAAGAGGGGAATTGGTGATTTATCGGAAAATAAAGAGTGGGATTAAAATTTTTATTCAATGTTATATCAATGGAATGATATACATATATGATATAAGTAAATAAGATAGTATGGACCAGAATTGATCTCTTGTAATCCGTATGTATATCGGTATTCGAAATTCGCGTTATTTAGTCGGCTCTGATCAGCCAGAAGGCCCACGGGCCGATTAGAATAGCAATAAATAACAATAATAATTTAAACAAGCCAATAGGACCGATCAAAATTTTAACCATTCATCTATTTTACCTTATTATCAAACGTGCATTTCTATACTTTCTTCCTAAAACCATAGTTGCGTTTTGGTTTCGTGAAAGTATCGTCTTTATTTAATCTCTCAAGTGGAGCCATTCTAGCTTTTCTGGAGATCTGACCTATTTTTAAGCAATAAGAAAAAATGGAAATTCCTATGATATCTGAAATGAAAAGGAGGTTCCTGGAACAGTCGAATGGCGGGATCGATCCAAACAAAATGTGTTGAATATTAAACTTTTAGTGGAGAAAACACTTACCTTTTGGTCAGAAATAAAATAGCAATCTCAAGTCACATTATTTTTGTTGTTTGTCTGGATTAATATAAAAATTATGTACATTCCAAGAGTGATGTTATCAAAAACTGTTGCTTTAAATTAAAAAGTTTTGTTTAATGTTACACGTTGCAATGGTGTCTTTCGTTGAAAAATTCACATTTGCCACTGATAAAATTGAATTAACATATATAAACAGGCTCTTTGAGTGGACCAGTTAAAACTGAGAAGGATTAATTAGAAACCCTGGAATATCAGTTAGTTTGTTTGTTTGTTTTTGAATTTCGCGCAAAGCTACACGAAGGCTATCTGCGCTAGCCGTCCCTAATTTAGCAGTGTAAAACTAGAGGGAAGGCAGCTAGTCGTGATCAGCAACTCTTGGACTACTCTTTTACCAACGAATAGTGGGATTGACCGTCACATTATAACGCCCCCATGGCTGAAAGGGCGAGCATGTTTGGTGTGACGGGGATTCGAACCCGCGACCCTCAGATTGCGAGTCGAGCGCCTTATCCACCTGGCCATGCCGGGCATATCAGTTAGTATTTTTGTGAAAGAACGGTAAAAAATTATGTGAATTTTGGACCCTGATAAATTTAAAAGTATATCTTTTGTTTCATGCTAAAGATGTTTTAGTTTTTCTATATTTAAAAAAAAAACATCCTAAACTTTCTTTTAATCATTTTTGTTCTGAAAGATGCAATTATTTTGTGATGCATATATATATTTATTATTTAACGAAGGACATTTATACATAAAGCATAGTAAATATATATTAAGTCACATTTGTATTCTTATTTCACAAAACATATTTTTAATTTTTTAACGTAAAAAACAATAACATGAATTTATTAGATGAAAGATAAATTTTAAAAAAGCATTAAAATTTATTAATTGCCCCATTTACAAAAATATAGGTCTATGCTACTCCAACAGCAATATGTTATTACAACAAGGGTCATGGAGGAAAGTACAGATTTAACGAAGGAAAAATGTATTTCTTTTGATTTACAGCATCCTGAGATTTTACCAACACATATTTTACAAGAAATATTTCGAAAGGTTTGTGTTATTGTTTCTAGTATCACTATATTTTCGTACCTCATCTATAACATGTAATATTACAAACGTTAGATTAGGCTTACCGAGGGTAAATGCGACTTTTTAAAATTTTAATACTAATAGTTTTAAGTTTAACTACAATTCAGCATATTGGTAAGTTATAAAACAGGCTAAGTACATTGTATTATTACATAAGTTATTAAATATTTTAACACTAGTTATTTGTCAATTCTTATTTTAGTTAAAGATAAATTGTATTAGTAATAATAGTATAAAACGTAAGGTATTGTTAAAATGGTGTAATATATTAATTTAAAAGTAATTTATTATTAAATTCCCAAACATTAGACTTAACAATAACACTGTGTTGTTTATTGTTAGTGTCCCTAAAAGTAAAATTCTTAGCTACTTGTATTTATTGTTTATTATTTATTCCCAGATTACAGTGATTAAGAGTAGTGTAGGTGTTAAGTGTTCACAGTTTTGTAAACAGTAAAGTGAATTGTTTATAGTTAACTCTCAATTATCTGGGTTAACATAGGAGAAGGGGGGGGGGCATGAATAACTCAAAATCACTGATACTGAGATAGTACAAAACACCTGTGGAAAAGCTTACAAATTACAAAGCACTTTGACATTTTCTTTGATGATAATCACATCAAGTAAACTTAAGACTTAGACATATCACTTTTGAACATACTAAAGTACTGTACATGTAAATATAGCTTTAGTCAATGACCATATTGCGTATTATTAAGAAGTATACTTTAAATAAAGTTGAAGTATAAGAAAACTAAATTTTGTTCTTTATTAGAACTCTTTAAGTAGTACATGGATAGAATAGTGTGTGGGGTAAATAAGAAGAAAAGTGGCAGGGATAGAGGATATTACTGGCAGAACAAGTGATATAAATATTATACTAAATAGTAAGAATGCAGTGATGCAGTATTTGTAGTACATATATGGGATAATGATGTAGTTAAAGGTGGGTTAGAGGAGCTAACTAATAAGTACAAGGGATTGATAACGGCATTTAAATAAAAGGCTATAATAATTTAATTTTATTATGAATACTTCTGAGACTTAATTGTGGGGAAGAAATTATAAGTGGGTTATTAGGGCTGAATACTAGGTTTAGGTTAATATGTAAGGATAAGCAGGTGAGACTTGTGGGAGCAGTTCAATGGGAAAAGAGAGCTTTTTCGAATGGATGGTTTAAATATAAATAAGGTAGTATCTGATTTATTTGCAAGGACTGTTAACTGTAAGGGCTAGACAATGTTAAGGGCCAGAATAAACTAAATGAATTAAAAAGATGCAGAGAAAAGCATAGTATAGGAACAAAGTGTGGAAGTAATTTTAAGGGTAGCTAACCTGTTATTGTTGAAATGCTAAAAGTGTAAAAAATAAAACATAAGACTTTGGAACATTAGTCAGAACAGATGATTTTGTTGATGTGATGGTAATAACTAACACTTGGATAAACTTAGACAATTTTGATGACAGAAATTTCTTAGAAATATAGGGTTATAGTTTAGTATTAAAAAGGGGGGTGTTGACTTTATATGGAAAATGTGAGTTACATCCTGACCATCTGAGGATATCAAAACTAATAGTAAGTAGGATGAATCTACTTGGATGTCTGTTGGCAGTTATGAAGGGGAGAAAGCTTTTAGTTGGAGTTTGTTACAGACCGCCAGATGTAACTGGTAAAATTAATTAGAAACTGTACAGTGAGATAAAGAATTTAGCTGTTAATGGGTCATAATTATGTAGGATTTTAATTTCAGCCATATAGATTAGGAAATGTTATCAAACCATGAGGGAGACAGGTTTTTTTTATAAACTTTTCATGATGATTTTCTTCACTAGTTGGGCAAGAAACCTACTAAGAACAATAATATTTTAGATTTATTGTTAACTCTTTATACAGAAATAGTCAATAGGGTGGAAATGTCATGAGTGGGGTACCCCAGGGCTCAGTGTTAGGACCCTTGCTCTTTTTTATTTATATCAATGACATAAATGAAGGAATGGTCAATGAATTACTTAAACTTACTGATGATATTAAGGTTTTTTGGTGTTGCTGGCTGTGAGGAGGAGTATGCTGCTGTTTTGCAAAAGGATTTGGATTGTTTAGTGAGTTGGACAAATAAATAGCAGATGGCTTTTAATTGTAATATATGTAAGATAATGCATGTGGAATATCACAATTTAAATTATGAGTATAACTTTGATGAGAATAACCATAACAGTGTTACGGAAGTAAAAGATCTTGGTGTTCTGGTTAATCAGTCTCTTAAACCATCCAAACAATTTAAAATTGCTAGTGGTAGGGCAAATTGTATTTTAAATTGTATGTACAGAAATAATGAATACAAGTCTAAAGAGGTTATAATTTCATTGTACAGCTCACTGGTTAGACAACATTTGGAGTATTGTGTTCAGTCTTTGATTCCTAATGTAAGGAAGGGTATTGAATTATTGGAATGGGTTCAGAGGAACAGGGCCAGATATAGCTTTACGTGACAACCTAGGGCCATGGCCTGACTTAGTGATGGAAAAAGAAAAATGTTCTAAGAAGAATCAATTTTGATAGTCCTCCTTCAATAGAGTTTAAGCACTGAGATGTAGAGATTATTTAACTTTTCTATTTAATGCTGTATCTGCTATGCATTTTGCACTTACAATATCTTAATGTTGAGTCCTCAAATAATTATTCATGATGTGTTCTCAATTAAGTATGACATGTTTCATGATTGAGCTTGCATATAGCAATGTGTTATGGGGCTCCATAGCTAGTGCTAGTTAGTTACTCCATACTCTTTAGTTTTGTGTTTACTGCTACAAAGTTACTCTGACTGTTGTCATGGTGACAACTTGTATTTTGTGTGAGTTGTGGTCTGACTCGCATATTCCAACCAAAATGAGAGAATTGCCAAGTTTTCCAAAATAAAGGCTTCCAAGAAGTTCTAGGGAAGAAAATTGTATAATGTTTTTAGTACACCCATCCTTCAGTATATGGAATAGATATGATCTTGAAAATTTGTCTATTTGGTGAATCCCATTTTCTCATAAACTTCCATTATGTATTTGGAGATGCATTGCTATGGAAAACATTTCAGCTCCAAGACATAATAAAAACACTTAATGTAGAAAACCTGTTTTAAACACACATTTAATATAAATGGTTTAATCAACTATAAATGATGGCAGATGCGTCAGAAGTTATTTTTATATAAAATACATAGATTTCATAACTCCAGTCATGACTAACCATGCACCAGACAGTAAGGGTGGAATTTACAGTCTATGTACTCATTCTTTATACCTACTTTCAAAATAGACACACTTATATTGAGTGAGGTGTTTTTAAATACATGTTATTGTGGACAAAAACAAACACATCTTTATAATCATAATTGTTAACAATTTGTTTCCAAATCCTGTATTTGCTATAATGATAATTAGGCACAATAGAAATTACAAGATCAAAAGAATGTTTCTCATGTAGAAAAAACAACAATAAAATAGACCAACAATATTATTCACAATTTTCAAATGGTAACCATGGAGGTGAAGTAATAAGATAAAAACCTAATCATGTGAAATAAGAACAATAATAAAATTTTATAATCAAAAACCTCTCACTGTGCATCGTGCAGGTTACTGGCAAGTAAAATTTGTAAGTTAGAGGCTTTTTTCAAATATTTACTCATAGGTCCTTTCAAACGTGCGAGTTTTCCAAAGCAACACACCTCTTTCTTTCATATTTTCTACCTCAATCATGAACTTGGCTTGTCATAGCTACATAAAAGATAAGGAGCTAAAGACAATTTTTTCAATAAGTCCTAATTAGATTCTACAGACACAGTCAATAATGGAATTTTGAAGATATTAGTGAGAGAACTAGTAATAATGATAGTGAAAAATGTGTAAGTAATGTAATAAGAGTATGATAAATATTGTGAAAATAAAAGTGAAACTTTCATAAATGAAAAGGGCAACAGTAATAAAGAAAAACATTTTCAATTATGAAAGTGAAGATGAATGTACTAATGATTCTAAAGAAGCAATCAAGATTCCTTACTTTAATGTTTAATGTTGTTGTTGATACAATTTGAAATCCAATTTTAGACTCTTAAAAAATATGGGAAATGTGATTTATTGAAACTTTGCATTATTACAGAAGAAGAAATTTTGCAGCATTGCAGAGATCTTATGATTAAACTCAACTTTGAGGGTTTATGCAACATCAATGAATTAAAGATACATGAAAAACTTAACGTGCTTTGCAGGATTATACCACCTAATACCAATATAAACTTTGCCTTGAAATTTATCATAGAAAATGAGTTATGTGAAATCTAACCAAATGTATATGTAGCACCTTGTATAGTCCTGACTATTCCAGTTACTGTTTGGAAGAAAGAAGTTTTTCTCATCTTAAGCTTCTCAGAGCTTATCTTTGTTGTACAATGTCTCAAGAAAGATTAGAATCACCAGCAATGTTATCTATAGAAAATGATGTATCAAACTCTGAATTTTTTGATCAGATCATAAACTTCAGTGTGTAGAAAAGCTGAAAGGTATTGTTATAAAATAAATAATGTGAGTAACGTAAATACATTTCATGTGAGTTGAATTAAAAGTCTGTATATATTTCATTTATTGACATATGCAATGATAAAGTTGATCTGTGAGAAATGCCTCTGACTGCATTCCTGGTGTTTTTAAATAAATACTATTTTTAACAACTAACTGTCCTATACTGTCCCTTACAGTAATAATGTCACCTTATTGATAGATAATCCCCATTAGAAGAGCTGTACTGCAATGACCCTGTAGCACTACATACATTGGTTTTTAGATTCTCTGTACTTCAAAGCACCTGTAATGTATATACTTTTTTAAGATGAATCTCTAATTCATTTAAGTTTTTCAATTTAAAAGATTTTGTACCCTTCATTTCAATCCAAATGGTACAAATTTAAAGAGAAGCTAAGCTGTTTTGTGTACCTTTTTATTAATTTACTCAACAATGCAGTGATTATCCTGAAACCATAGAAGATAAACCTATCTAATATATAAAACTTACTTGAGAGAGAAATTCCTTAATGTTGCTTGCTTTTGTTTCTAATTCACTTAAGTAATTAAATTTTCAAGAAAACTTTCATGACAAAGGTAGTATATGTGACATAACATCGTCTAAACATTTGTTAAAACATTATTTATTGCATTTTAATTTTCAGGTTCTTATTCTGTAGTTTCAGTTTAAAAAATATTTACTCAATCATTTGTGTTTTTAGTATGTTTGCAAAATGTCAAAAATTCAAAGAAGTTCCCAAGTACACGAAGATGGCAAATAGTGGAAAGTAGGTATAGTGTAGTTTGCTTTATGTACTTTTACTATGTGTGACTTTATTGTAAAAGTTAGAATGAATTTTGGCTAAAAAGTTGGACCCGTGTGGTTTTGGAAGTTTAGATTTCAGGAAAATGTTAAGTAATTTCAGAAACAGCCAGATATTCAGATATATAAGTTATCTGTGTGGAATCATCCAAAAAACTTGGCTATTCCAGGAGTTTTTATTTAAAGATCGTTATTTTTTCTCAAAATGGCTGACATTTCCAGATTTCATCATGATTGATTCTGGGTAACTTTTTCTGGCAAAACTTGAGCTTTTTTACAAGTTTTGGTTTTTCCATTACACTCCTAATGGTTGTTGTTTTTTATTATTAAAGTCAACTACAAATTCTGCACCAAACCAAAGAGAATTTTTGGACCTGTTAAGTGTGTGTTGAAAAGTCTAGTTGTCAATTTTTTGTTATTTGTTTTACTAATTTTATTATTACAATCTTTATCTAGAGGAATATCAGTCATGAAAAGCTCTTGGACAAAGCCAGCTTGGTTGATCTGTTTTATAAAACAGTGATCCCCCTTCCACAACGTCATTTTGCAGATACAGTAAGAGGCAGAATTTTGACAAAAAAACAAAGTATTCTTGCAAAGAAAAGAAAATTTCAAGAAAACAACGTACCAGGCCAAGGAAAAAAGTGAGTATCTGAGCCTTTTCCATTAGAAATGTTTCATGTACAGTATATACATGTAAGTCATTTGTTATCTAAAATGCAATTTTTATGTAAACTTTTGCACAGATGCTAATAAGAATATTAATGTTTTACCTTTAATGTAATCTTGCCACTACGAGTCCAACCAAAATGCTTTTTCCACACATTTTCATAATGTTTCAACAGCAGGGTAACAAAATTGATGGAGATGACCATGAAAATACTTTGATACTTAAGAAATTTTTTCGTTTACATACATCAAGATGCAAAATTAATGCTTTGTTTTCTTAAGTGATATCTGGACACAATCATCAGAATTTTTACGTATCAGAAGAAATTTTTTGGTGAAAAAAAATTTACTTACCCAAAAAGTTGCAAGTGTACATTTATTACTAACTTGTTTTTTTCAGTTCAAATACATGGACATTCACAATAAACTTAACATATACTTTTTTGAGTATAAAGCTTAGTAGGCAAGCTTATATATAAATAGATCTGGTTTGAATTAAGGCAGTAACATGTTTAAATATTAAATTAAGGCTGCATGTGGACATGCTATGATTTATTTTAGATCTAGGCCTAAATCTAATGCTTGGATTATGTAAGTCCATAAAACTATACAATAACAGGAAACCACATTTGTACTGTAGCAAAGATACCAAACATAGATCATTATACAGCATAGATCTCAAACTTTAAAATCTTATTCAATGTTCCTAAGACCTCTGTATAGGAATTTTGATAGGCATTAAGTCATCTGCATGGTTTTCTCACTGCAAATTGTCTGTAATTACATTTGAACATTTCTGTAATGTAAATTGTTGATATCAAATAAATATGTTGCTAATATGATATGAAAAATTAGTGATTTATTAAACTCAGTTCAAGCTTTACAAAATATAATCAATTAGTAATGAAGTAGTAACTGGCTAGGAGTTTATAGAGAAATAACTCAATCTCTAGATCAAACTCAAATATAAAAAGCAACATTGTTGGTATCAAAATCACAAAATGATGAAAGCAATTAAAAGGAGTTGGAGGAAAAAGAATCAGAACGATTATAACATATCAAATAACGAAATAGGGAAAAATCTAAGAGATTTATTAAACACAATACAAGCTTTTCAAAATATATTATTATATTATATATATATATTTATTATATTATTATATTGTTGCTAACAATACAGAATTTACGATGATGTGGCACATGTGTTCTCATGTTACGGTATCCAATAATATAAAACTGACTTTTAGTCTTTACCAAGTGTAAAGTTACATTTCAATTATTATACATGATATATGTATATAGATTATTGCTATTTAGGAATAAGTTCTTAAACTTTTCTTAAAACATAGCTTTATTTACTGTTAAAATAAAGCAAACAATTATCTCTTCTAGTTATGACCTTTGTACTCAGTTGCTAAGCCTTTAAAAATTTTGCACGTGGAGGATAAGAAACAACATATCTTTTTTAAGGTTTTATATATACACTTGAATAACTAAAAAATAATAAATTACAACATCAATACCACAGAATAAAACTACAATTTAATAAGCTTAGTAACTAAGATGAACTTTACTCTAAAAAATATGAAATTTTGAGTAAACTAAAGACTCAACCTACCTCATTGAAATCTTGGTTCAAAACAAAGAAATGGTGCTAGTTATGTTAGAAAGGCTGAGAAAACCACTAGGGTGACATTCTGACCTTCCGATTGATTATTCATGTCATATAAAGAAGTAAGTGTATCTAAGGGAGCATTTCCAAAAATTGAAAGAGGTGGGCAGGGTGACACTGTGTTTGATTTATTACGTGAGCAATATCTTAGCAAATAGAAAAGATAAAAGGTTCTTATTTTATATTCTAGCTTATCAATATCTGTAATTTAGTTTCTAATTCATACAAAACTCTA